CAGTTGTAAACAAAGCTTAAAAAGATTTCTATGTGCGTGTGTATGAGAGAGAGAGAGAGAGAGAGAGAGAGAGAGAGAGAGAGAGAGAGAGAGAGAGAGAGAGAGAGAGAGAGAGAGAGAGAGAGAGAGAGAGAGAGAGAGAGAGAGAGAGAGAGAGAGAGAGAGAGAGAGTTTTAACAATTTTTTTAGTGATATTACTTAGATGTCTGCAGTGTGGCAGTTTATATTTATGTCTAGCCCTAAGGCAGCATGCAGCATGCCCCACCCAGTCATATCATGACACCAAGCCGACCAGTCTTAGTACTAACCTCTTAATGCTGAGCAACAAGCTAGGCAGCTGCTAGTACCGTTATGTCTTTGGTATGACTCAGATGGATTCGAAGCGGAGGCTCTAATCTCTTAGGCCGATGGAGCGGTCTCAAAAGATTTTAAATTACAAGAAAAATTCTCAACATAAACAAATTCCGCAAAGTTGGTGAAAACTGGACAAGCATCGTTACCCTGTTCCAGTGATCAGCAATACCTATCATTGTCGAAGTTTACAAGATTCTAAACATTTATACTGGGTCCTAATGGAATAAAGAAAGATTACAATAATTTGCTAAAACACAAGAAGACAAATTGATCAAACTGGTTTTCATGAATCTTAGGAATATGTTGTTTTAAAAAGGTTTATAATATAGTGAATCATGATGCAAACGAAAATGAAGAAAACAGGAAGTTTAATAATAACAATAAAATAATTAGGTTTACTCACCTAAAATAATTATGTTTACTGGGCTTCAGAGATTGCAAAACGTGTACAAAATCTTCACAATTTAAATATATTTAACTTTAGAGATTGCAAAATATTTACAAATTCTTAACAAATTAAATGTACCCAGCAGTGACAAAATATTGAAGACAAAAAATCCCCATTACTTTTGTCCATTTATGTATAACTGTTAAACCCAATAATGGAAACTTGTATCACACCAATATAATGTACGCTTGGACGTATTATATACAGGGACGGAGAAGGGTGCGGTTTTCAGGGTTTCCGGTTAAGAAAGAACAACAACAACAACAACAACAACAACAACACACACACACACACACAAATACACACACAGGCGCGCGCGTACTATTACGTGCCACTTGAACTTCGACGTTGTTTTTTTAATCTTGAGCATGTCTATTAGATATTATGCATACAGACGAATAGACTTTTGCATTGGTACACTTTCGATGAAAGTCAGGTCTGTTTTGAAATGTTGCCCCCCTCCCTCTTTGACACCGACACTTGACTTCATTTGGTCATGATAAGTACATAAATATATACAAAAAAATAAGGGTGACGTTATAAACCCTGACTGTTATGTGCCTATTACTTTATTAAGTTCCTGGGGGAAACCAATTACGCCAGATGTAAACAGTTCTTTGGGGATTTTTTTTAATATGAAAAGAACAATCTTTCCTGCTCAAGCCAAGCAGGACCTAGATGACTGGACCTTAGACCAATCATTAGCAATTCATTCTTTCACTAAAAATATATCCTTTTGAGAAGAAATAAATTACATTTATTGACTTGCGCTTTTACACGCATTTTTTTTTGTTTTTTTGTTGTCATACCAGCCAAATTGTATAAGGCCGGACTGTGTAAAAAGGGATAGTGGAATAAAGACCGACACTGTAATAAATCGGGGAGTAACACTATTGTCATATAGTGAAAAACAATTAGCAAAGACCGATTGTACAGAATACAACTTACATTTCCTATTCTCTGTCATTTTCTACACTGCACGATAGTGTGTGTTCAATATAGTGGTGTTGACAATTTTAGCAACGTTCTATGTTAGATGTTATCAAAGTCTGACAATATTAACTAATTCCTAATTTTGGTGATTTCACGTCTGGCAATTTTAACAACTTGCCATGAAGCAGCAAATCAAAGCAATTCAGAAAGGAAACTTGGAACTTAACTATTCGCTGATTGACCTTTTGACCAGGTCTATTAAGGAAAATATTTTCTTCATAATTTTTGCCGATATCATAGATGAAACACCCGGGAAACTGGAAGTTTTTCTAAACGATTGATATAAAAGTAAAATGAAGACCGTTGTTTTTTTTTTTACTGACATTATCCAGTTTAGTAGAGTGCATTGGATTGAAGGGGAGAGAACTCGTGTAGGTATGCATCACTAGCTCATGGCTAAGTTCATTTCATCGAGAGAGAGAGAAGTATTGTTATGTATATTTATTTTGTTGTTTTTTTTAAAAAATTATTTCCATGATTATAGAATGAAATGATCATGTAGACAAGATATTTCATATCCAGTGTTTGTCTATGTGTATACTTTATTGTATGATAATGAGATATAAATAGGTCGTTCATTCGGGTTGGGTTCTGTTTAATGCACTTCTCTACAGTTTGTGGTAATTTAGTTTTGGATGATTAAGTCAGACGAGTCGTGTCGCGACACAAGTCACGTGAGGGGTATTTTGACCTAGAACTGTAGTTGTTTAGTAGTGATGCATATAGGAGTCACGGTACTAATTCAATTCCCATAGTAAACATATGGAAACACCATCATATTTAAAATTCAATAGCTTAAAATTTCTGGGTACTGATGATCAAACCTATATTTCTCCATACACAACTATCCTTGGTGCAAGCTTCTGTGTGGAGAACACCATATGAGCCGCGGCATTTTCTTGACCTACATATGCATGAAGTCCATGTTATTGATTCAGCACCAAGCGAATCAAGTGATACTTTCATTATTGAGTAATCCTAAGTCAAGTCATTAAAAATACTTAAATTGCATCAATAGAAATTTGTCTATATTTTTTTTAAAATTACACATAAGATAAGCTTTCAAAAGATATTTTTAATAAAATTTTACTTTTCATTATTAACCAATTATGTACCACCAGACCCGTATATACTCTATTATTTTTTCACCCATTTCTAGACTGGTTCACAGTTCTTCCATTGAATTAGTACCATGTGTCCTATACGGCCATAGTACACAATTAATTTCATTATATTTTCTCTAGATTTGTTTCTCAGTACTGAACTTTCCACTGTGTGACAATCAATTCAAATCATATGTTAATCTAAAATACCTTCAAAGATGACTTTACGGTTTAGTTCTTGTCAAGGGTTGACCTGCATTTTTTTTGAGAGGCTGAATTGTAAACAAAACACCAGGCAACGGAACACAGATTTCACTTCCTGATCATCACCATGACCTTATTACTCAATGTGCACTGTCGCCGAAATACACACAGACAACCACACCATAAGCTCACATTCTAAAGAATAAACAATTGCCTTTAAATCCTTACCAAGAATGCCAAAATCTGACTCTAGTATCACCACCAAACTTTGACAGGAAAAAGTGATCTAAAAATAGACTGGGACTACATTCGTGGGTACTGAACCGGATATTATTAATTGTGTACTGATTCCATACGGAGAAAGAAGATTGGCAATAATTTATTCCTAATTATTATTTTGAATACTTTTTTTTAAAATTGTTTTCAATCTGCATATGTATTTAGTGTTGTGTTTAGATTTCGCTTGCGTTTGAATGACTTTCTGAAATCATTTACTGGAATTACAAAGTACTCATACGACTCTTTGATTTCGTACTATTTTGGGATTATTGTAAATTCATTCAAAGGAGTTACAGGCAACGCCATTGTGATATATCAAAACAATTGGCACTTCAGCACATTCAAGGCATGGTATTCATTCCGCACACGCTATTCTTTTTAACTTGGGATAAGACTTTTAGGGTTATTAAGGATCTAATTCGCAATAATGTACATTTCTCCTTAAGTTTCATTTTATAACCTTGAAAATTAAATTATTTAAGTTTTAAAGTTTTACAAGACTTGTTGACTTTGCGTCTTCCTTTAACTTAGTCTAATACCTTTCAATCGTAAAATTTGTAAAATTTCTCTCTCTCTCTCTCTCTCTCATAAATCATATCTAGTATTATCTGGTTGAGGCTTTCTTGAACACACACACACACACACACACACACACACACACACACACACACACACACATACATACATACACACACACTTATAGGTTTGCATTCAGGCATAAACACCGGGCTAAAAAAAAACTTTTCTTACCGATTGGCTTGGATGACCATTTTTAGCATTAAGGTAGCGCTGGTTGGTACGCAGCACTTACTGACCGAGTTGTTTGTATTCAAGGAGTATGCCATGTTCATGTGCTAGTTCTGAGATTTATTGACTAGTACGCGACAAGGCTGTTAAATGATGAAAATAACGGTGGTTTTGTTTAATATTCTGTTAAAATATGAACACAGATGCCAGTGGCTGCGTGATGATGTTAATTTTCGCTATTCAAAATATATTCCTGCTTAATTAATTTTCTATTCTGTTAGGTTTTACGCAAGAGTTATGCAGATTTTAAGTATAGAAGTTTTTTCCCCACATTTTGTCAGCTGTATGTCATTTGTAAACAGTTTTTTCTTATCACAATGACCAAACATTTTTCATATGCCCCATGGATAAAGCAAAATTACGTCCGTATTTCGGGCCTTGGGCGGCCAATTAGTCTAATGCGCTCGCCTTTAGAGATCACTAACACACCACACCTCTGTGTCTTTGACATGGATTCTCTGCAAGACCAACGTAGGTATGTGAGATAGCTTGTCAGTATCTACGGCGAGAGGGAAATATTTACGTCCGCCGTGTATAACTGTGTACTGCACAATGGCGTTAAACAGAAAAAAAAACTAATCCATACGTCAGTATTTGTGTAGCTTTTCTTACTTAGATACTTCAGAATTTTCAACGCATAGCTCTATAAAGATAAATTCGAATGTAAGGTGATGTGACAATTTACAATTATATTAATATAATGAATTAAGCCCAAGTCAACACTTGATGACTACTTTAAAAATACATCTCTAAGTTGTATTACAGACTTCTGCCTGTCTTTATGTTTCTATCTATCTGTCTGTCTCTCGACAGCTTCTGTGGCCTAGTGGTTAGAGCGTTCGCTTCGGATGCGAGAGAGCGTGGGTTCGATCAACGACTGAGTCATATCAAAGACTTAAAATGGTACTAACAGCTGCCTTGTATGGCGCTCAGCATTATGAGGTTAGTGTTAGGACTGGTCGGCCTGGTGTCAGGATAATGTGACTGGGTGGGACATCAGGCTACATGTCTGCTGCAGCATTAAGAAGTTAGTGTTATAGTGTTATGACTGGTCGTCCTGGTATCCTTGACTTGTCTGCAGCATTTGACACAATAGACCATGATATATTACTTCACCGTCTCCAACATGTATTTGGCATTCACGATACAGCATTATTATGGTTCAACAGGACGCAAGTTGTGTCCACACATGGAAAACACTCCAGCCCAGTTGTTCTATGATACGGTGTTCCACACGGGTCTGTTATTGAACATGTTCTCTTCATTCTCTACACTCAACCACTCTCATCATTCAGTGTCTCGCCACTTGTGTGCTGATGACACCCAAATATACAAATCTAGCCACCCAACTGAAGTTGAAGCTATCGTCCATTTTGTAGAGAGGCGCAATTCCAATGTAAAATCAGGGATGACATGTAACAAGCTGCAGATGAATGCTGATAAAACTGAAGCCATTCTGATTACAACACAAAGACTTTCTCATTCACATCCTTTACCAAAGACAATAAATATTAGCAACACCAATATTGAATTCACAGTCAGTACGAAACCTAGGTGTTACTCTCGACAGTACTCTCTCATTGCACCAAAACGTCATGAACATTTGCAAGGCTGCATATTTTGAGCTGAGACGCATCAGATCCATTCAGTTTTTTTTCAGTTTATGCCAATAAAACACTTATGTGTTTCTTAGTATTTTCAAGACTGGACTATTTTAACTTAATTCTGTCTGGTTCGTGTCAATATCTACTCCAGAAACTTCAAAAACTTGAAAACACACCTGCTCGCATCATCCTTAGAGTACCACGACCAGAGCAAGCCTTCCCCTGTTCCGTACCATACACTGGCTATCCATTCCATCCAGCAACAAATACACAATTTCTTGTCTGGAATCAGTACACAATTAATAAAATCCGGTTCAGTACCCATGAATGTAGTCCCAGTCTATTTTTAGATCACTTTTTCCTGTCAAAGTTTGGTGGTGATACTAGAGTCAGATTTTGGCATTCTTGGTAAGGATTTAAAGGCAATTGTTTTTTCTTTAAAATGTGAGCTTATGGTGTGGTTGTCTGTGTGTATTTCGGCGACAGTGCACATTGAGTAATAAGGTCATGGTGATGATCCGGAAGTGAAATGTGTGTTCCGTTGCCTGGTGTTTTGTTACAATTCAGCCTCTCAAAAAATGCAGGTAAACCCTTGACAAGAACTTAACCGTAAAGTCATCTTTGAAGGTATTTTAGATTAACATATGATTTGTATTGATTGTCACACAGTGGAAAGTTCAGTACTGAGAAACAAATGTAGGGACAATATAGTGAAATTAATTGCGTACTATGGCCTGTCAGTAAAAACTTGAAACTGATATAAAAATTTTTATTATTAATGACATACACATGAAATTTTAATAAGTTATGTATATTGACTTTAAAAATAGAAAAATGGAATTAAAAATAAAAAAAATAATTTTAATTTTAAAAATTTAAATGAAATTTAAAAAACAATTAAAAAATAAAATTTTTCCACCAAGTATACACATATATAATATTTATTTGGAATGATATGAAAATATATCAGCATATATATACTCATACACCATATGCAAGCTCAAATGATAGATATTTGCCAAATTTGATCAGAGAAAATATCTTTATTAGTCAAAATGAGACTCTCATTTAAAATACATGAAGACAAAATGCTACTTTGCTTTGTACCTTTAGGTCATTGAAACTTTTTTTTGTGGTCCAAACAGTTAATTTATGTGTTTATGATGGGGTGACTTCCTGAGTAACACATATCTGCTTGTATAGCTATCAGTAATTGTTTATAAACATAGTTATAGGGTATTTAGTGAGAGGACAGAGATGAAGACTTTATACTAGAACCTGTTTAAGTTCTCTACAAAATTATATTAAGCTGTCAGAGAATGAAATACAGGTCAGAGGGGGTAAAATATACTTTACCCAGGTATATTTACCATTGCATGTAAGAAAACAGCAAAATGATGTAAGTTGAACACAGAATGCATTCCATTTTATTGTTCAGTTTCTTTACGATGTTGATTGATGTAGTGCCGCATTGTGGCCCAGATGATATTGTGAGAATTCTCATGATCCATTTTGCTTTATGCATTATTAATGACTAATAATATTTGTTATCTGACACTTTAAAGATTACATAAGTAATATTCAAACAGATTATTTGAATTTAACTTTCCACAACTGATCCTAATATGGTTACATAGCTGACATGAACAAATATGCATATATTTTGTAATGTTTGGAATCATAAGTTGACATTGTTATGCTGACATAGTACCTATAGTGAATCTGTAAGGCTCAGTTTTGACTGTGAACACTTAAAATATCCCAAGATGTTATTTTCATCATGAATATGCCTCTGTATGGTAACACATTTTAATTTAGTACTTTGACAGAGGGCGGTATTGCAGCATCAGCTGATATCTGATTCCATTGAATCATTGAACTTAATAACTTGGTAGCCAAGACTCTTAAAAAAAGACTAAAAATGTTCAAACAGATTATTTGAATCATGTTTGCACATGTGATGTTACCAAGTACATTGCATATGTCCCACACATGCAAATATCCATCCTTGTTTACAAGTTTTCGGGATGAAAATTTCACATTTAGTTGATGATATAGGATCTATTGGTACCTATAGTTGATCTGTGCGGCCACATTTTGCTATATTCACTCGCAATATCTAAAATTGTTTTTCCTTCATGAATAGGATTGCACATTGTCATTTGACTTTCCACTATACTGGTATGTATCAATGTTTGCACCAATGATCCAACCTCACCGTTCCAACATTGCCTTAAAATTTATGATACATACTCTACCTGATTAGTTATTTAACCTATAAATGGCTAAATATGTTTGTAGAAACTTCATCTATTTTTAGGATGCATTTGTCACTTTAATACATGCTCATTGCTTCACATCTTTGAGTGTCACTCTGTCAAGTTTACCTTTTTTTTAACCCTATTTGCAACCTGAACGTTATTTTGAAATCACCACTTCTAACACATTTTAACTTTATTTGCCTACATCTTTCTGGGTTTTTTTAAGAATTAAGTGAAACATGTTATATCTTTTCAGGTTTAGCCTGGTATCTGGAACAAAGTATTAGAGACTGTATCATTTTGGAAGCTCTCCAGTAGTCAAATGGTGATAGCAAGGTCTCATAAGGACATGTGCAGTCTGCTGCTATTAGTGACCAAGATGAGTTCATATCAGTACACTGATATACAGCATCTCAAAGACATGGCTTAGATCTTCATGACAGAGATTCACATCATTTTTCAGTAAGGTGGAACTTCCCTGAAACTGTATTTTCATATTGCGTTGTTGACTTTTGTCGTTATCGGCATTAAAATGGAATGCATATTTGCTATAAAACATGGTAGTGGTCCCATCAAAACTTTAAATTTGAGTGGGCTATTAGTTATACAAACAACTGCCCAAGTACTTAAAACAATAAATATGGAACATAGCACCTGTCATTGTTTCTTTAGTATGTACACCTATATGCATCTGGATAGGCATGTTGCAATTTGCTGTCAAAATCATTGTGAGCTATCATGCGTCAGTACCCCTGGGATTAATATAAACTACCATTTGTTTTAAACACCATTCATTAATCAACTTTTCTGCCTTAAATGTGTCAAAATGAATGTCATAACATGTATGAAAATTTAATTTTTGTAAAGAAATAGTTTTTAAAATTTATATATTTATTTACATTTTCATTAAAATTTAATATATCGATATTTTTAATTTAAAGAATACTTTCAGACAGGCCTTATCAAGTATTACAATTAGTTTTTTACTGCATTGAATAATTCCTATAATTAAGAAAGATATAGCAAATTTAGTTTTGGTTTCTTAAGAACAATTGGATCTCAAATTGCACCCTATAGAACACCAGCACTACACACTTTCTGATAGCTGTCTCGTGTTTTGCTTGCAAGGAAATTTCAAAAGACTTTATGTGTGAAGTTGAAATAGTAGTAGCATTAAACAAAATGCAAATATAAAAGTTTGACAAAAACATTGACCCTTTCAGGAATGAAATACACATTTTACTTAAATCGGTTCATTCACCCACGAATAATCCAGTCACTTTTGCAGAACACACCTAATCTCTTCAAAGTTTTGAGTATAATATAGTCAGATTTTGCACTGGAAGGTTAAAGGCAATTGATTAATCTTTAAAAAATAATGAATTATTGGTGCTTGGTTGGTGGTATTTCCGAATGCACATTGAGTATAAGACATGGGATGAATCCTGAAGTAGAAATTGTGTTCCGTTGCCATTGGTTAATATTTAAATTAAATTTTATAAAATCTTTAAATTCAGTGTAAACCTTGAAAAGAAATATAACCGTAAATCTCTTTGAAGGCTATTTTAGATATATCATATGATATTATTGACTTGTCACACAGTGGAAATTCAGAAGAAACTATGTTAGAGACAATATAGTAAAATTATTATGATATTCGTCAGAATGCCGCGCTTCATGGTCGCTCCATCAACTACCATACGATTTGCTTAGAAATAGTGAACACACCGACAGAGTATTAAGCTACTGATTTTAGATAGGTCATTCTCGTTATTCCAATTGCCACTTGAACTTTGACCAAAGCCACAGTGATCCATTAAAAAGCTCTCTAGTAAAATACCCCATTTCAACCAAAGACGTCTTAAACTTATCATTCTAAACTAATTACCGAACTTTACATAAGTTAACTGATTTCTAATCTTTTGGCTTTTTTTTATTTTTGTACATTAATGTTTAAATTTTCAAATGTTGTTTTAAGCCTGAGAGCTAAAAATTAAAGACCTTACAAGTCTATTAAATTATATTATTAAA